ACATTCTGTTAATGATGAATATTCACAGGGTGCGAAAGTGCATGCACAGTTGAGAAACGGGAGGTCTTTGCAAGGTCAATAATGTCAATAATGAATAACGTCAATAATGAATGAATGAGCTGCGCATGTTGTGTCTGTACGTATCCAATAGCACTTAAATTTCGAATAAGCTCTTAGCGAGACTAAATATTCGCTTCCAAATATTCGAATAACTGAATGTACATTCATTCAAACTGGATAAGCAGAATTCCCGTTTCTTTAAATTTGGATAACTGGCTTTCAAGGCCGGATTCACTTTTCTCCGGTTTAACCGGATAGCTGGTTTGGCAGATACTTGCAAGCCCCCGAGTCTTCTGTATAGATTTGCGACTGTGTGAAAATTTGTTCTAATCCAAGATTTCAGCATGAGGTAAACCTCCTGTTTGTAAACGTGCTTCAAGTTGGTGTATTTTTTTTATCTCGTCAAACTGTCCTCGATGTTATGGTCTGCTCCATGTTTTTATGCACATCTTATTCATTTTAGTACTCCTTTATCTATGAACACTGTCTTTAGTGTTTGATTTCCTGGAGTGCACTGACCTGCATATAATTTTGTGTTCATTTGTCAGTAGTTTCTCATTTGATATAGTTGACCCTTACCTCACCTTGCCTGAATATGTCTTTTTTGCATGCACATTCATCTTTGGGTGCCATTGAGACTCACCCCATTGTTGTATCTTCAGTGACTCTGTAGCCAGCTAGCCAACACACACACATGTTTATTGCAACTTTCAATACAACGAAATGACCCCACCGCCCACTTGGGGTAGCCTTATAAGCTAAAAAAGAACATAACAGTGACGTCAGAGAGCCAGACACTTCCATGAGCATCTTATCTTAAATACGACACGCTTTCTATCTTAGGTGGTATTACACAACACCCATCGTGCAGAAAAGTCAATACAGTAGAATCTCGGTGATACGAATTCAAAGGGAGTACACAAAATATTCACCTCATCCTGTATTCGTATAAATCAAAAAAAAGGTAAAGCTGGTCATGAAGATGACAAGGAATTTATTAAGGTAAACAACTTCTTGTTGAAAAGAAGTCGATGCCCTTTTGAACTTTCCTGGTTTCACTGCCTCTCAATAAAGTGCCACGTATTTGTCACTCATGCTCATTCACACTTTGCATCAAAGAGAGTGAGAGCGGCTTATTGTTAATGCACTCGCTTCACCGTTTAAACGACCGAAAAATGCACCACAAAGTCGACCTGAGAAATGTTAGTCCTGGAGTATTCACACTGGAAAATTCAAGCGAAAATGCTACAGCTTCTACAAAACCACATTCGTGCCCGTCGGAAATGTTCAAATTTGTTCTGCCCCTCAAACACATGCCACCACTACTGTCGCCGCTTGAGAATTCATTCCTGGGCATTCAAATCCATACCGAGTTCTAGTTCTAGTGCCGCGAGGTTAACACGAAAAAATAAGTTCTGGAGGGTGCACACTGGGAAATTGAAGGGAAAAGGCCAGAGCGGGCACAAAACCACATACGTGCCCATCAGAAAGGTTCACATTCGTCCTGCCCCTTATACACATGCCACCACTACTGGCGCCGCCTGAGAATTTATTCCTGGGCATTCAAATTTATACAGAGTTCTAGTTATGCATGCAAAGCTTTGAAAAGAAACGTTTTACACCTTCACAAATGTTCCTTTGAGAGTTATGCCAAAAGAAGCGACACGAGCAGATGCACTGGCAGTGACGGGGACAGATTCAGCTGGCAATGCAAAAGCGAGACACGGTAGGGCATGTCGACCCGCTGCTGTTGCAGCACCTTTTTTTACTTCCAGTGTTCTCAGTGATCTTAATTCTAACCAGGCTCTCGATGAACACGTCTTAAGACCGTGAGCTTTGTCACGCTGCGTGGGTAGTTCGCGATTACACCAACACGAGCCACCGCCCACGCCTTTGCCGCAATGTGTGATGTACAATTGGTTGTTTACATCGCGTGGTTTGAGTGCTAGTACAGCCGGTGTACCCAAAGCTGTTGCAGAAAGATAATCTACTATCACGTGGCGGAGAAATTGGTCTCGGACCGCGTCAGCGTCGCGGCAATGTTTTCTGGCCACTTTTCCGGCAGCGAAGCGAGGGCAGTTCTGGAGAGTTTCGCCGCATTTGCTCCCTTTGAGACCAAGAGGAGAGTTTCGCTGCATTTGAGGAGAGTTTCGCCGCATTTGCTCCCTTTGAGGCCAAGTGTTAACGGGCCTTCCTCCCACAGACAAGGCGTGCTGCGCCACTCGCATGCTGCGACCAAACGTGCATTCGTATCATCTGCGGTGGCTGGGGAAACCGTTCGTATAACACCGAATCACGGCTTATTTCATATAATGTAGGACCATCCGAAGCAACGTTAAAATTCCTATCGCGGAATTCCCATTAGCCGTAATCGTATCATCGAGACTCTACTGTATAAGGTAAAGCTGTTGCAAGTTGCATAATATGGTTGCAAACACAATGAGGCTTATACTGTGCAACAGCATAAGCACATGCCAGCAGAAAGGGTGTTCGCTGCTTCTCTAAACAAAAGGCTATCCAGCTAAGGGCAAGCATTTGCTCATAGAAAAACACAGAAGACCTGGGAAGGTCTCACACGTGCCTATGCAAACTGGATATCGGGAAAGAATGCACACGTGTGTCAACTAGTCATATATCATCCTAACAAACATTAACTAGCGTAGAGAGTAGAGTGAGTTGGGGCATATTCATGTTATGAGCGCAGTCAACCGACTCTTTGTGAACTGAACGTGTCATCATAATTTGTGTAACTTTCTCATCTGTAGAGATAATCATTAGTGTGTGCCAGCTCGAGGTCGTCTCGCCCTGCCACGGTGGTCTAGTGGCTAAGGTACTCGGCTGCTGACCTGCAGGTCACGGGATCAAATCCCCGTTGCGGCGGCTGCATTTTCGATGGAGGCGAAAATGCTGTAGGCTTGTGTGCTCAGATTTGGGCGCACGTTAAAGAACCCCTGGTGGTCAAAATTTCCGGAGTCCTCCACTACGGCGTCTCTCATAATCATATGGTAGTTTTGGGACGTTAAACCACACACATCAATCAAATCAGCTCGAGCTCGTCTCGAAGAAAGCGCTTCCTCATGATATTCTCAAAAAGCACAAGAAAAATCACGATACAAAGAATCAAAAAGTACAGGACGACGTGCAAAATAAGAAATGTTCTATTTTAGAGAGGATGATTATGCAAAACACAGGTAAATGTTTCACTAATGATATCAATTCATATCTAGACATCAAACTGTTTAGAAATGCAGTTTCTCGATTGCATAAAAAAACATTTTGCAAATTCCTGAACCCCTAACTTTTTTCTTTACTGTTTAATTTAGATCAGCAGGATTAATGCTAGATATGCATATTATCAACTAATTGTGTGCAGTTTACTTTGCTGATTTATTTTTGTCTAATTGGTCTTCCATAACATCTGGTGTACTCCAGGACATACTTCTAGGCCTTTTGCTATTCTTATTAATGACATTTCATCCAATGTTTCTTATCTATCATCTATTTTCATAGTGCTAACTGTGTGATTTATCATCCTGTTACTTGCAATAGCATAGTGGTCTTCTTCAGTGTGATCTGAACCATGTCGAAAACTATTGGGTGATTTCATGAAATATTGAACGAGCATATATCCAATCTAGTATATCCTTGTTTTTTCTGGGTTCTTTATATGTTATGTGGGCACCTCGGAAGCGCACGGAACCAAAAATTTTATTTGCCAAAAACGTTCCTGGCGTACAATATATATATATATATATATATATATATATATATATATATATATATATATATATATATATATATGAGTGGCTGCCTGGGCATCCTGTTCTTCCTGTTCTCAATATTTTTGGATCTCATGCAGAATTTAACACAAATTGTGCAAATTGTGGTGATAATTATTTTCTCTTTGTTTTATTATGCAATACTTTAAATTATATCCATGCTGCTTTGATGTTGTTCTCTAAAGGGAAAAAATGTTGAAAGAATGGCAAACATGGTCCAAATAAAAAATTTTGCTGTTTGATGCACCTTGACATGTTTGCTGTTTTGCACAGACACTTCAGAACTGTACTGCATTTAGGAAAAGCCTTTACTATATTTCTGCCAGAGATACTTTTCCTACAAGCAGTTTAAAAACAGACAGCTAAAAAAGCAATCTTTTTCAAGAAAGCCCATTTTCAAAAATGAAATAATAAAAAAAAACTCCAATCTCAAGATAACTTTTTTATCAAAAAGTGCTAATGTCTATCAAACAAGGCTTCAATATTATATGTCCTCATTCCTTGAGAGATTCAACATGCATGCTTGGTCTATATTATTGCTTTGTCTGGGCTTTTTATATGTTATGTGGGTACATTGGAAGTGCATGGAATAGAAAATTTTGTTCGTAAAAAATGTCCCCAGTGCCAAAAAAATATTTGATGGTGGCTGTGCAAGCATCCTGGTATTGTTCCCTGCAATATTTTTGGAGTTCACAACCGATATTAATGCAAACTATACAGGTTTTTACGAAAAATTTTTTCTGTTGGTTACACTACATAGTACTGAACTATATCCATGCTGTTTTGATGTGCTCTAAAGGAAAAAAAATGTGAAAAAATTGAAAATACAGCCCCAATAAAAAAAGTTTGCTAAGTTTGATATGCTTGGTACGCTTACTATTTTGCACTGATGCCTCAAAGCTGTGTGCGTGGTACAGTGTCACAGAAGCACTCAAAGCCTTTTAACCAAGATGTAGATCTATGTCAACATGGTCATTGAAGTGTACTCAGTTGAGATACAATGCTGCTGGCCAGAAAGTACCGGGTTTGGGTGCTTTGCAAGGCATATGTTTGCCTCATTGCCACAAGGTTGATAGGGGAGAGAATCATTAAGGCTACGGAGATTGCATTGTGAAGTGTTCATTGGAGTAACACCACCTTCATACCTTGCGGCTGGAGCAGGTCTGGCACCTCCTCAGAGTTCATCAAGTCCCAGTGGTAGCCCAACGAGGACACAAAGTGCTCAAGGTTCGCCTACAAGTGCTCACAAGACATGCCGACCGCGGGCACGGTCTGCTGACGAAAGCTCCAAAAAGGCCATCACTGTAAGTGTGTCTAGCCACCTGCTGAGCCAGTCTTTTTTTCCGTTTTACTGATCTTGTAGTGCAATGAAAGCTCGTTAATTCATACTCAAGAGGAGACTATAAAATTGTTTGAATTATGCGGAGTGCGAACTAGTGGCTGGGCGTGAAAATGCACAAACATTGCTGCACGCTGCGTGGGCGGAACCCAAAGAAGCCGCCTCTGGACCAGTTATCACAAACTAGGTGCTACATGTTTGTGGCAGGAGATTTCATTCATCATGGGAGGAACAGGATTTATTCATCAGTCAATGACATGCCAAAAACAAATACTGGCATGCATTTATGCGAGCAATGAGCTTTAATGTTGAAATATGTGATGCAATTTATGCTCCAAAATGTGTTATTTACATGGTGGAGTTAAGGCAGTCAAAATTAAATGTAATTGAGGTCTCCCCTATGTGTTCTCAGAACCAGAATAAGGTTTATTCAACATCAATCACTGATTTTCATTTGCTTGCGTTTATTTCATCGCGACCCCCATGAGCATTGTTTGTTGCTTGTCCAGGAGGTCCAATGCAGCATCTGAAATTTCATCTGCTGAGAAATGCGGTTGTTTCGTCATTTTGCAGCTCTAAATTTAGGTTGGTTTGCTTTTGCAACATATGATCACTGAACGACCAAAACCAGGGGACTCCCAGTTTGAATCAACTGTCGTGGATACCGACGTGTTTGAATTATCTGGAGTTTTTCCCCATAGGAACACACGGCGCTGCGCTGGGACGAGGGCATCAGTTCAAATTAACCATGATTGAATTAACGAGCTTTTACTGTATTTCTGTTTTGGTAGGCAATAATGACATGGGGTAGTTGTACAAATAAGGTTAGGAGTAATTTTCTTATATCTAGTCACCTGTTTGGAGAAATGTGAATAGAAAAACACATAAAAAATTATTTTGTACTGTTTCTGTGTGCTATTTCATTTTCAAAAGTATATGTTTTGAGATCCCCAAGTGGTCACCCTAAACGAAAATTTCACATACTGTTTTCACTTTTCCAATGAGAGCTGCTCGTTTGTGCATACTCTTACCAAGGGGTGGCATCAGGTGAAAGAAAAGCACTGTATGTCCCGTAAAAGGTCCTATGTCACACGCCCTAGAGCTTTGTGAGAAAATTCTGATAACTAGGTATTCATGTTGCATTGACTGGTGTCTGCCGCCTGTTCTTTCTGCAGCAGCAGAAGCCTGCACGAGAGTCCATTGAGGACTGGGAGATCATGCCTGACGAAATACTCACAGGACCACGTATAGGCTCAGGCTCCTTTGGTACTGTCTACAGGGGGCACTGGCACGGTATGTCCTTCAGTCTAATGCCACTCGACGTCTCGCTAACATAAACAGTGCCACTGATCCTTTGCATGTCACTGTTTGTGTAAGCTCAACATTACGCATGTGCAAATATTTGGGCACTTTGAATATTCAGACGAATATTACAGTATTCAAATTCACTTTAACTCGAATTTAAGTTTTTCAAATTTTGAAGCTTTTGAAGTAAATGAACAAACTTAGACTGCATGTAACCCCCCCCCCCCCCCCCTGCCACTGTAGTGAAGGTGTGCTATGTATTATCATGAATACCGTATTTACTCGCATAATGAACGCACTCATATAATAAACGCACCCCCGTTTCAGTTGTCAAAATTTGGATTTTTTCCTTCCTGCGTAATAAACGCACCCCCTACAATCATCCGCTGCAGTTCCGCAAACCGACACATGTTGCCTCCTTGCCCGTTGGCTCTCTTGCGTTTTTTATTATTATGCTGGCCACCTTGGCTCCCCCCCCCCCCCCTCTTCCGTCGCCCGCTGTTGCGCACCATATAGTTTTTCTTTCTATCTGTACTCAGCACGTCCCCAATCTGTTTTAATTATTTATGTATCACAGCTGCATTAACAAATGGTGCAAATGTAGAGACATCGTAGCTGACAAGCACATAGTGAGAGAATGTCACGAAACTGCCCGCGCCAACCGACAATCACTTCCTGCAAATATGAAGCTTAAAGGCCCAACCGCATGCACGCAATTTTCGAGCGACGACGACAGGATTCGCTGTCGCCATGGCTGTCGCGAAGGGCCATTCGCCACCATCGCACCTGAAAAAAAATTGCTTGTCGTCCAGAAAAAGCTGCAACATGGTGGCAGCTACTGTTCTCGCTTCGATTGCAATTGGCTTTTCGTGTTTGTTAACTGCGCCTACTTCGAGGAACGCAAGATATAGGCTACCTTTTCTACAGTAACTTCTCATGTGGACAACGAGGCGTTGGCGGTATTTTGTTATTAATCTTGTTATCAGTGGTTTGTTTTGATGCTTCGTTGGTAGCTTGCTGCAATGTTGGTTACTTGCTGCAGTCTCGAGGGCGTCGTCGCAGGGAAATTGTGTCATAGTGCACGCTTCTGGGTGCCTCTCAAGATCACAGCATATACCACTGTTGTGGTTGTAGATTGCGTGAAGAAGTAGCCATGAAACGCTTTTATGGCATGCGTGGGTGGCCCGGAAACAGCTTGCAGAAAGTAGTGCCATCAGCTACCGAAGATGAGTGAAGTGCAACAAGGAAGCTGTTTTCAAACAGTGTACACGTAGTCAATTGCAAAAAGCTATGTGACCTAAAATTTTTTTTTTCTTGCATTATAGCATTTTTTGCTCATCCCAAAAAAGTGTTCATAAAATTTGTCGCGCAAATAAACGGACCCCCAACTTTGCTCCAATTTTTCGAGAAAAAAAGTGCGTTCATTATGCGAGTAAATACGGTACTCTGATCTAGAGAAAATCTGCACTGCTGTGAAACCCCATTTTAAAGCTAAATGAGCATATTACCTTCACATCAACGACTGCGGTATAACCTCAATACGACAGACCTCTATAGAGAAAAGTGTTTTGATCTGTTGTAAAAGGAGTATGTAAAATTCAAGAACTGTTACAACAGACTTTTATGGAAACACTGAATGTGTATGTTATAACTGAAAGGAATTACAAGTCGTTCTAAAATATCTTCACTTAAAACTATGTAAAAGTGCTATAAATAGGTATTTGCATATGCCGCGGTGTTGAAAATCATCGGGGAAGTCGCAGAAAAAAGAAAAAGCTTCAAGCTTTGCAACGACACAACTACCCACTTCCATTTCGGGCTCGTCGTAAATGTATTTCGTAAAAAGCATTCCGTGTCCAAAAGAAATGTTTGAAATTCCTTTCGAGGCCTCCGATTGGCTGTTTCTGCTGTATTGCTCTAGTGTGCCTTGCTCATCTGTTGCTCGTTCCAGATACGCCTTCGGCAGAGCGTCGTGTGCTTCTTGTGCGTCACGAGGTCGTCGCTTTCTAAAATTGCGCTACTTGTGACGTTTTCACACTCGTTATGTGTTCACGGGTCGACGACAATTTCGGCTACAATTATGCCTTAGTTAAGGCAGCGGCAAGCAGATGTTCAGTCATCAGATAATATTCACGCGCTGCACTCGTTGATAACATCACACATGCGCGTCGCGAACCAAGTGACTCGGCGAGAAGGTTCTGCTTATCAACACTTCGGATCTTGAGACAAAGACCACTGCTGGACAAATCTTTGTACTCCTGATTGAGCATTTCGTATTTTGAAACATTGAATGCCGCAGCCAAGCACATCGCAGCTGCGCTTTCTGCTCCAAATCTTAGGTAGGCTTAACTCGGCCCTGAACTTGGTGGGCAAGGGCATCATGCTATTGGATATGCAAAAGCGAGGGCGTAATGTGGTTCGTCGCAAGCAATGAATTACATTGGCCGCTGGCTCCTTGGAACTGCGAATAGGCATCTTGGGCATAGGTCGTGGGCGCCGGCCAATCTCGCCATGCACCGACCTCTCAAAACAGTGGTGGCAGTGGCCAACAATTTCACACATCAGAGTCCCAACATGCAAAACCAAGCACACTGCGTGTCTGTTTTTCGTTGGCGTAGCTCCGCGTAACTATAATCATTAATAGATCGGAAATCGGAGGCCATCGTTCTTGAATCGATATGTCGACATCCGTGGTGCTGTTTCCGTCCCGAATCATGCCAAGCTACGTTTGAAGTCAGTAGTTATAGAAATTACGATGTCGGTGGTTGAAAAGTCTGCTGCAAAAAAGTCCTGACCACCTTGACCTTATATTTTGGTCAATTATATCTGAATGTGGGTTGTACCTGTAGTGAACGAAGCGCAATCAATGGAGCAAATAGAGAGGTCGGCATAATGCCGCGAGTGAGTATGTAGTATTCAAATGTCAGTTGTAAGCAGGTCTGTCGTAACGAGGATATACTGTAATCATTTCTAAATTTAACATCTTTGTTATACCGGCTTATATGCTTCAAGTATAGCAAATTTCACAACGCAGCATATTTTACACGTTACCCTTTTCTTTCTTCCAAAAGTCAAATCCTGCTTCTACACAAAGTTTCTTCCACTTCTTTTGAACCAAAAAGAATGACATTTGCTGATGCCTTGTCTCAATTTAAACAATATTGTGCTGGTTTAAAGGGTCACGACAAATATTTTTCTATATTGTAATGTGCTATATGTATATAGATATATATATATATATATACATATATGTAGCATAGACCGCTTATAACGTAAGTCGCGGGAGTCGTGAATATCCACCCTATGAGTTGTTCTGCACAGTTAAACCTGGATATAACGAAATCGATAGAATCCCAGAAAAATTAGCTATAAAGGGGATTTCGTTATATGCAGGTTCAGTATGAAAGTTCGGAAAATAAATGTGCGAATGAAACAAAAGGGGGACTGAAGGCACGGCTAACCCAAAACACTTACTTTACAGTAAAAAAAAACTGCGTTATTATTGTGATTCATTATATGGACACTCTTAGTGGGTTTTTGCTGTTGTTGCCATGTTTCTTAACAAGTCGAGATTGATTACATGCCACCGCGCGTAGTAACTTTCACGAGCGGGTAAATGCGCAAGAGCGCTCACAGAGGACAGATGAGTCGGCCCATTCCTATCGCCTGGAAAGTGCATAAGATAACATTTCCCATGTGTTAAAACTGCCGTCGAATGTTCAAAGTAAACCACATGTCTTGAACAAGCGTGAAACAATGCGGGGAGGAGGGGGGGTGGGATCGCTCAAGCAGCAATAATGAACTTGTATTTTAAGGGTGGTCGCGATCACTGGCGCGCTTGCTATCTCGGCGAGTATCAGTGCGGTTTCTACGCAAAGGGATGGTATGAAAAAAGCACTTCACCCTGAAGCGGCCATTTTAGCTCGCACCAGCGTTTTGTAGGAGTTACGAGGTATCAGATCCAAAAGAGTTGGCTGCCAGCCTTGCTTCTTATAACATTATAGTTATTTTTTGCTATCGCGTTCATTGCATTGCATTCAACGCGCCCTCGTGTTGCCAGAACTAATCGACTAATCGCGAAAGCTACCAGCTTGCGAACTCGCAACCTGACGAAAGACGAAAGCGCGTGATGAGTCGACCTGCGTAGATCCGTCGTCACCGTGGTCTTAGCGAGTTTCCATCAACCCCTCGGTGGTAACGACATGGTTTTCCGAAATTAAGTAAAGTCACAATTTCGCCGCAAGGGTAAAGCAATCACAACTTGGAATGTAACGCTGAGAACTAATGGTAAGCAAATCCGAGCATGCAGTGCGCTGCTCAAGCACAAATGATACGCGAAAACAACATACACAGGACAAGAGCGAACAATGTTTACTGCTCGACATCTATACCCGGCGACAACTTTCTGTGGCAGCACGGCCAAGGCTACGTGGGCGGAGCCTATGCACACGTGCTACTGCGCCAAGTAGTCCGACCGCTTCGACGGGTGTTTCGGTTTCGATTTCACCAGCGCATACTTTATCCTTTGTGTGTCCGGCGTTGACCCAGGTTTCGTCAAGGTAGTATATGGCTCTGGAAGAATAAACAACAAAAATGAAGCATGTAATCTGCAGCGAAGCGCGGCGAATGCAGTGAAACTCGGCTCGTGTCACAATTATTATAAATTGCTCGCGTTTCGGCTCGCGTTTGCTCGCGTTTCGCTGCAGGTTTCGCTGCTCGTGTTTCGCTGCGTTTGCTCACGTTTCGCTGCTTTTTCTTACTTGCACGTAAACGTTGTACGCCACCTTCTTGGCCTGTACGGACAGCTTTTGATTTGACAACGCCTGGTACAGCTGCGCAGCTGGTGGACTCGCGGCACGCGGCGGTGTTTCCTCCGTAAGCGACGTTGACGAGCTGTAACCGGCGGACGCCATCTTTGACAGTGAGGAATGCGGTGAGGTAAAAAGGCGACGGAAGCCGAAAACCCCCCAAAAAACCTGAGAGAGCGTGAAACGAAATTTTTTCTACTGCGCAACGTTTTTATTCACTAATTAAAAAATAAATCCGCGAAAAATGTAAGTGACGAATGGTAATATCTTAGTTACCCAGAACAGTATACAAACATTTTCGTTGAGGGACTACATGCTGTGGCGCAGTAAGACAAGCGTGCTTCGGCTCCGTAGCCTTGGCTGTGCTGCCACAGAAAGTTGTCGCCGGGTATAACGTGCTGTTTAAACAAAAAGCGATGCACGAAACGTAATCACGGGTACAGATATTAGTGCGAACTAACAAATACCTCAGTTGTTACTTTGCTGTGTTCGAAAAGCGCACTGTTTTTGCAAACGGCACCTGTCTATCGAGCAAAGTGAGCTTTGTGCGCCTTGCAACTAAATGCATTCGTTCCGGCCAAGTTCGGAGGTGCCCGATTCTCCCCGACAAAAGATAAGCGCAGCGTACAAGCATCAATCCCCCTCCACTTCGCCGGGCAAAATACGCGTGGGTAATTAGTGCGGGCCGGTGCATCATGACAAGCTGAGCGCCGAGCGCAGGCTACATATAGATTTTTATACATATACAGTGAATGACGGCTGCGGCGCCGGTAAAAAACCAGCTGAGACTGTCGATATAATTCTCATGTCGCAATAAAAGAAAAAGCATAGCTGAACGTTGTCGGGGACCATGCCATGCGCGCATGCACGGCGTACCGCGGAAAACTATTCGGTTAATTTTACTATTTTTTTATTTTGATTTACAGTGGGGGAGGGGGGGAGGCACACCTGCACGTACGTGCGCCCGCGGCGATTAGAGTGGCGGGTGGCGGCAACGTTGACTCATGGTGTGCAAGCCGCCTGCCCACATCGCGCTCAACGCGCGCAATAATGAGCACTCGCTCTCGCCTGGTGCGGCGTTCGTCGGCGGCGAGGCAGCCGCGGAATATTCATGCTAGTACCAAAATGACAAAACGCGGAACATAATTCCTAGATTGTCCGTGGGGAAAATTCGTTAAATCAAGGTTGTTTCTCGCTGTTACTTTGTTACATAGAGGTCGCAAATACATGTGTTTCTATGGAGCAACGGTGGAAAATAGAAAAACTTTGTTATATAAAGGAATTCGTTATATGAAGGTTTGTTATAAGCAGGTTTAACTGTATAACCAAAATAACCTTTTTCAAGGGCCACACTTGCTCAAAACGTGTTGAACATGCAGCTTCGCATGTCCGAAAATCGAAACGTGCGATGCGTGCTTGGTAACATTTAAAAATCTTAATGTTAAAAGAATTCAATGCCGGAAGACACGCGTTGCCAACGAAATGAACGCGAAAGGGTGGAGGAGTTTAACAAATGAAAGCACCATCGTGGAAATTCGCAGACTACTAGACCACCTTTATTATGCGCATTACATAAAAACTATGTCGAATCACGTCCAGAATTGCATGCATTGAAAGATGCCATCCCATTTGATTTCATGGGCGCACAAACGATTTAAGACATCGTAATCGAATCGCGAACCACTAATATTTGAGTGCTACACGTGCCGCCCTCGTTTTCATTAACGATATGTATCCCTTCCCGTCAAGTGTGGCCACCGCAAAGAGTTTCGTTGATTCGGTACCAAACTGTACCTCAGATTCACGCTATCGCTATCGATCGAAGCGCAACCAACGCCGATTAGGCCTAGCTTGCCGTTTGGTATGTTGTCGCGTTAATTGTGTCCAAAACATGAAGGTTCGGCGTAAAAAAACTTTGCACTAGCTGTGAACCAAGAACAGGCATGCATGATACGAAGTTTGTGTTCGGGGCCGGAAGATCAGCAATGACGACAACTCGCCAAGCTTAGGTACGAAAGCGCACTAGCAGCAAAAGTGAAAGCTCGCGTCATAAAACCGTAAAAGGTTTTCAATTTGCGGACGAGGAAGCAAAAGCGATATTTGTTGTTAGCTCGATAACGACGATGTCTTTCCCGACAGGAAACCGTTAAGCGCATGCAGTCAATAAGGACGGGATCGCACGTGCCACGTTGAGCGGCGGCGGCCGAAGCTACGCTACCGACGTAGTACGCTGTAGCCGCGTCGGCGCCGGTGCAAAGGCCTATTAGTCACCAAGGCAACCGTCCTCTTCCCTTACTCGTCGAGCCCGTGCAATGTCCCACGGTCTTCTTTTCTTTTTCTTCCCTCTGCCCTTTGTTCGTTCACTCCGTGTCCCCTCCTTCTCCGTAACAGCCTCGTTGTTCGCTCCCCAGCGGCGCACCCAGCGGGCCTCCTTTCAGAAGCACACTCGCTACCGCATTTGTCACCAACAATTTCCGGCAACCGCATCATTACCGGTCTTCCATCTTTGGGGACTGCACAATAAGCGGTATGGGTATACATGGGGTTCTATGGGCAGGTAAGTGGAAGTATAAAAAGACCACATTGTAAGCAGTTCTGCACTATAAGCGGTTACGTTATAAGTGGTCTACACTGTATTGAATTGGATTTGAAATTGTTCGGCCAAATCACTATTCACTTTGTATTCACTTTGAAGCCAAAATTTACAATTCACACGTGCCTCTCTGCTTCGGAGGTGTTTGCTGACCTTGTGTCTTGTGGTGTTTTATTTTGCTTTTCAGGGCACGTTGCTCTCAAGAAGCTGAATGTGACAAACCCAACACCTGCACAGCTGCAGGCTTTCAAGAACGAGGTCTCCGTCTTACGGTGAGAGTTTATTGAGATTGCCCTGCCCACTGGACCACCCAGTTGATGAGGAACAGGCTTTGATCCCAAAGCATGTTGATCGCATAAAGTGGAGATGAGACTTCTGTTGGTTAAAAAAACTCAAATGTGGCAATCACCTGATAGAAAAAAATCTTTCTCTCTCTGAAAATATATTGTACCTGGGCACTCACGGTTTTAAAAATAATTTTTTGTTCTTTTTTTTTTTCTACACGTTGGCAGAACTTGCACATGTACCCCTGCGTAATCTCTGCCTTTTCCTCAAAACAGCATTTTTTATGTTAGTGTACCCTTTTGGTAGTGTGCGTTAATTAGTGGCATTTGTATAGGTATCTGGAACCAGAATAGGCCCTGAGTAGGAAGTGGGATAGGTGCCGATAAGTAGCTCAGGTGCAAAAACATAACTCCAGTTTTTATTGTATGCTCATAATTTCAGTTCCGCTTCCGTAAAGCTGCCTTTGTTCAAAATGTCATTGCTCAGGAAATTGTAGATGTCGACAAAAAAAGTGCAGTAGACTCTCGTTTAACGAAACCTGAAGGGACCGAGAAAATGTTTTCCATTTAACAGAAGTTCTGTTTACTAAGAGGTGAGGTGGGTCGCAGCATTCAAGTTCGAAACCAATCACACAGTTGTTCCACTTAAGCAGCAGTTTTGCTTAACAAATTTCCATTTCCTGAGAGTCCACTGTACATATGTAGGGAAACTGCAAAGAAGTGCCGTATTTACTCGCGTAACAAACCCACTCGCATAATGAACCCACCCTCCAACTTGGTTCTTGAAAAAGCAAAGAAGAAAAAATTTTTTCATGTATCTATTCATTTTCTTTTGGTATGATAACCAGTGCCATTGACTATCGAAACAACGGTATGTCAAGCCATTATATCACGAAATAATGATGCAGTAAAAGTCAAAGCATAGTTTAACAACCATGCTAAAAAGTTGTAAGCAGCGCAAGCTCGGAGGACATCAATCAAAATTTAGAAGTTGCATCTTTTGGTGCAGAGTGTCATCTGTCGAATGCAGGAGAAACCTCTTTGCTTATAGTCATCATCATCATCAGCCTGACTACAGTCCACTGCAGGACAAAGGCCTCTCCCATGTTCCGCCAGTTAACCTGGTCCTGTGCTTGCTGCTGCCAATTTATACCCGCAAACTTCTTAATCTCATCTGCCCACCTAACCTTCTGTCTCCCCCTAACCCGCTTCCCTTCTCTGGGAATCCAGTCAGTTACCCTTAATGACCAGCGGTTATCCTGTCTACGCGCTACATGCCCTGCCCATGTCCATTTCTTCTTCTTGATTTCAGCTATGATATCCTTAACCCCCGTTTGTTCCCTAATCCACTCTGCTCTCTTCTTGTCTCTTAAGGTTACACCTACCATTTTTCTTTCCATTGCTCGCTGCGTCGTCCTCAATTTAAGCTGAACCCTCTTTGTAAGTCTCCAGGTTTCTGCTCCGTAGCTAAGTACCGGCAAGATACAGCTGTTATATACCTTCCTCTTGAGGGATAGTGGCAAACTACCTGTCATAATTTGAGAGTGCTTGCCAAATGTGCTCCACCCCATTCTTATTCTTCTAGTTACTTCAATCTCGTGGTTCGGCTCTGCGGTTATTACCTGCCCTAAGTAGACATAGTCTTTTACAACTTCAAGTGCACTATTACCTATCTCGAAGCGCTGCTCTTTTCCGAGGTTGTTGTACATTACTTTCGTTTTCTGCAGATTAATTTTAAGACCCACCTTTCTGCTCTCCTTGTCTAACTCCGTAATCATCAGTTGCAATTCGTCCCCTGAGTTACTCAGCAATGCAATGTCATCGGCGAAGCGCAGGTTACTAAGGTATTCTCCATTGACTCTTATCCCTAACTGTTCCCATTCTAGGCTTCTGAAAACCTCCTGTAAGCACGCGGCAAATAGCATTGGGGAAATTGTGTCCCCCTGCCTTACACCCTTCTTGATTGGTATTCTGTTGCTTTCTTTATGAAGCACTATGGTAGCAGTTGATCCCCTGTAGATTTCTTCCAGAATGTTTATATATACTTCATCTACGCCCTGATTCCGCAGTGTTTGCATGACGGCTGATATTTCTACTGAATCAAACGCTTTCTCGTAATCTATGAAGGCTATGTATAGGGGTTGGTTATACTCTGAGCATTTCTCTATTACCTGATTGATAGTATGAATGTGGTCAATTGTTGAGTAGCCTGTTCGAAATCCTGCTTGTTCCTTTGGTTGATTGAATTCTAATGTTTTCTTTACTCTGTTAGCAATTACCTTTGTAAATAGCTTGTATACTACAGAGAGCAAGCTGATCGGCCTGTAATTCTTCAAGTCCTTGTCATCTCCTTTCTTATGTATTAAGATGATGTTAGCGTTCTTCCAAGACTCTGGTACTCTTCCCGTCAGGAGACACCTCGTAAACAGGGTGGCTAGTTTTCTTTGCTTATAGTAGCGCCACACAAGCACAGCGGCAAAAAAAAAAAAGAAAAGTAATGCGCATGTCCTTCGAGACGGCGAGCGCGCGGCGCAAGGGCGGCGTAGAAACACGCTCTTGTCATCTCGGAGGCCTTGCAAAGCGCAACCGCACCAACGGCACGTCGTGCACCTGCAACGTTTGTGTGTGGCGTATTCGTTGTCAGGTTTTTCGTTGTGAACTTGGTTGGGGGACACCTGCTATGCAGGGCACATTTGGCTGGTATGCTTTGGCTGGTATGCTCTGGCTGGTCGAGCTACACGGCTGGTTTTAAAACCAGCCGTGTAGCTCGACCAACTTGAAACTTGGTCGAGTATGCGCTGGAGCATGGGAACCGATCGCCTGGACGACACTTCGGCGTCGATCCGTGGGCGTGCATTACGGGTGAAAGCAAGAAGAGCTTCGAGCTACAAAAACGATTTGCCACGCTTATTGCGGACCAAGGCAAGCAATACTGTCATGCAAAATTTTCGCTGTTATAACGCCCGTGAATTTTTTCTCCCGCGTAGTGAACCCTCCCTCCAAATTGGCGTCAACTTTACTGAAAAAAAGGTGGGTTCATCAAGGGAGTAAATGTGGTATCAATAAGCAAAACTAAACAAATTTTTATACTGATTTTTAGTTTCGATATAACCTGTATTTACTGTTAAAATACCTGGCAAATTTTATATCTATAGCTTTTGTTACCACATGAACTGGTATTTCACATTATCGGAAAGTAGAAACGACTGACACTAGAGGACAAAGTGCCAACTTCCGACTCGGTTGGAAGTTAGCGCTCTGTCTTTTTGTGTCCTTCTTCTCATTCATTTTTTTTTTCTCACTTTAATGCGATGTACCAATTTGCCCTATCTTCAACACTTGAGGTTTCTTACCACTGCTGTACAGCCACAGGTTAAAAGCTCGCTTTCAAAGTCTCACCCCACTTTATGTTCACAGCTGACATGTGGCTTTCTTTCTCTTTTTTTCTCACACAGTAATTGTGTTTTCTTACTAACGTTTGTCTCTCTCTTCAAAGCAGGTTCTCATTCAGTATCAAGACTATCAAGGTCCCCAAAAAAAACTTGAAAGTCAAGTGCCGACAGCAATGTCAAATTTTTAGTTTTGATGATATGCAACTGAGGTTGTTGCTAACATTTATAGCTAGTATTTTGGTTAACATCATAGAAAGAGTGTTTAGCAGTTATGCCTGCGAGGTATTGATGAGCATGCAAAATACATTTGCAGTAGCAGCATCAGAAACTGTGGCATTAATAATGATAAAGGCAATGCAGTGCCAGAAATGAGGCTTGTGCAAATATTTGAATGAATATTAGAGCATTCAAATTCGTTTCGATTCGATATTAAGTTATATAAAATTTTGAAGTATTCGTAATAAACGAATAGGTACAGTATATTAGTCCGCATGTAATTCAATTCAATTTTATTTCACCTCAAGGATGAGGGCAGGCTCGACAGAAAAGTGGCGCTTGCCACTTGAGGATAACCCAAGCCTCCCTAATACATGGCAAGCAACGAAGATATGATTCGTGGGTGAAAAAAAAAAAGCGTGAAAAAAAAAAAAGAGAGCGCAGTAGTAGCAGACCACAATCTCCTGTAAAGGTGGTTTCACTGCAGTGAAGGGGCGCCAAGCCGCAAAAAAACTTAAGAGAAGCCTGCACTGCCGCACACATCGGTTTCTAATTTTTGTTTTTTTAGGTTCGAAAGCTTGTTATAAACCCTTATATGCACTTAGTAAATTTTAACTTGTAAAGTATTTCACTAGTTACCTATACCATTTTAACGAGAGCCAAATCCTGCTACTATTCAAAGTTGTTTCCGCTTGTTCTGAACCAAAAGAAGGGAATTTGCACAGGCCTTGCTTCAATTTTAAAAAATATTGTGTAGGTTAGTTGGGCCATGACAAGTATGCCCATTTGTCTTTATTTCGTATTGGAATCGAAATTATTCGTCCAAAATTTCTATTTGCTTCAAACCTGAAATTAATTATTCGCACAAGCCTACCGGGAATGTGTGCCATATTCGAAGTGTTTTCTTTGATTTGCTGTTGGTGATGGACTGTTTTAAGCTCTTATGCAGCCTGGCCTATTTATCCATGCTTTTTTCTTTACTTCTCGAAGGCGTCTGACTGCGTTGTGCACTGTCGCCTTATATTTCACGGCTTTAAGCTCTTAAATTAGACTGTCTCACTTTACCATGACTGCAAAACTTTCTTTCAAATCATCACCCATCCACAATTGCAAATAACCTCTTGTCCTCTTTAACTGAAGTATCCTCTGGTATACCACAAGGAAGCGTCCTCGGTCCTTTGCTTTTTATTATCTTCATTGACGATTTAACGCATAACGTGTGCTCTACTATATCAATATCTGTAAATGGCCACATTGTCTATTACACTAAAGAAAATACAGATGACCATCTGGCTCTTCAGCATGGCTTAGAGCAAATTAGTAAGTGGTGCCGAATGACCTTGAACACGTCAAAATGCAAAGTAATCTCGATTTTTGGAAGACTGCACCTTCACTGTATTCATACAATATCAATAAAGACACTCTTGCAATCGCTACACAATATAAGTATCTAGGCATTATATTCACTTCAAATCTTTCTTGGTCCGAACACATCACCTTTATATGGAGCTAGAGCCTCCCAATCTATGGGTTACTTTCAACGAAATTAAAGAAATTCTCCTTCGAATGGTAGCGAAATAGCCTGCCTATTGAGAGTTAGCCCTCAACACGAGTACGCCTTACCTGTTTGGTCTACTCAACAGAAATACCTGAACGGTGTATTGAAAAAAGCTCAAAACAGGGCAAGCCGCTTCATTTCTAATGATTGGAGCCATCAGTCTAGTGCCGCTTAAATCAGTATTAGCTTCATTGCAATCTTTGAATACTTGCTGTAACATTGCATTGCTGGCATTGTTTTACTAATTCATTCATTCATATCAAACACTAGCATGCTTGAAACGGCCCTCCACAGGCTTCATAATAATTTTAGCTAAGCGTGCATTTACGAATTAGCAAGTGCATTTGACTGCTCAGTGCTACAACGGGCACTCCGACATTCCCTGCCAGATGGCATCGCATGTCTGCGATGCCATCTGTGGCATTAAGTGACACAGAAACACTGTGGCATTAAGTGACAGATTAACCAGTCTTCTGGCCAAAAAAAGCGTAAAGATATCTGCAATTCATTATAGCAGTGCCTTTTGTTTTGAAATTTTTCTTTTTGTGGCACTGTAGTATCACTTCTTTTTCTTCTTTTTTTGTTCTTATTTTTCTTGGTGAATCTTAATACAGTAGACTCCCTTTAAACAAAACTCTCTTAAATTAAATTGCTGCATAATTAAATGGAACAACTGTCACTAATATGCTTGGTTTCCTACTTGGATATTGTACCCCTGTTTATTAGGCTTGTGCAAATATTCGAATGGTTCGAATATTGAGTATTCAAATTCGCTTCGATTCGAATTTAAATTATCGAATATTATCGAAGTATTCGCAATGTTTGAATAGGTGTATATTAATCCACATGTTACCGCCTGTAGTTGTGGTTTCACTGCAATGTAGGAGTGATAAGCTGTGAAAGCACCTACTCAAGAAAAATTCGCTTTGTCGCGAAGCCCCCCTTTAAATTTAAAGGGGCTTTGCAACACCTATTGAACGTAGTCAGAAAACACTGCCGATTGGTAGTCGAGGCTACCGGGAACACGCGAGGCAAGTATTATAGCGCAGCATGCGGTTTGTAATTCACAATAAATTTTCAAAGCTAAAAATTGGTTTCTTCCCTCGGCAAGTGACACTACAAGCTCAAAAATCATTTGCCTCAGCCATTGGCTAATTTGAGCATGATGCGCTTGTCATTACCTGGGCCGTTGCGGGAGGCCGCGACTTGTCCACGAGTACGCGCGCGATCACATTGAAAAGCCACGTATTGAAAGAAGAAAAAAAAAAGTGCTCAAGGTTACGAGGTGCGTGCGATGTATTTTCTTTCGCCATGACATTCCTCTCTGCTTGACTTCCAGCTTTTTCGTCGGGACGAGAACGTGCGACAAATTTTGGAACTCCGCTCGTAGTGGACTAATTCTAGAAACTTTGCGGCGGTAAATTTGTGACACAATAAGCATGTTTACTGGCTCCATGGCTACTTGAAAAAGTGTTACAGGGCCCCTTTAAAGAAACATGTTACAGTCAAATCAGTTCGTCATTTTATTAAGCTTGTTATAATGGCTTATATGCTCCAAGTGTAATAAACTCTGAAACGTTGAGTACCTGACAAGTTATCACTTGCATCCTACCGAAAGTACTACTGAACATTGTTTCGACTTCCCTTGAACGAAAAAAAAAAAAAAATGGCATTTGCATAGAGCCCCTGTTTCAATTCAAAAGGAGTATTGTGCAGGTTAGTTAGGTCGTGATAAATATTTCTTTTTTTTTAATATATGTCATAGATACGATTCGAATTCGATTCAACATTATTTGATTAAAATCACTATTCGCTTCGAACCTAAAGTTCACTATTCGCATAAGCCTACTGTTTATCTCTCAGTAAGTGAAACTCCTCTTAAAGGAAACACATTTTCCTGGTCCCTTTAGGTTTCATTTAAAAGGAGTCAACTGTACTGTATAACATTTCAATTTTGCTCGACTGCATTACTTCATAGATAATACCTTCTGTCTATATTTCCCTATTACATGTTTTATCTTTGCTAGTGTCGTAATTATTTTTTGTTGCCAGTACAGCCATAACTAATTAATTACATCATATTGCTCTGCTCCTTGTGTCATTTGGTTAATGAATGCTGTTTACACATATTGTATTCAGAGAAACGGTGAAGGTCACTTTTGGTACTGCCTCTATTACACAATGCCTTAACAGAGACGTGTAAGCTATTTTTAAATAAATAAATAAATATCATGTGGCGTGATCACACTTACTGTGAAGTAATTAATACAGGCCACAACAAGACTAGCAATGCTCAAAGTTGGCTTAAAATGAATGAAGAAATTTAAAAATGATATAGCGAACAGAAATAACTGAGAAGTATTGCTATAATTAAACTTAATACTACTAAATATTCTCAAAAATGTGGCACTGACTCTAGCGTAGCGCAAGACAAGGTACCATCGCTGGGCGAGCAGAGTACCTGCGCCATCACTGTGCTGCTGCCACAACGGAAAACAAGTTGATTGAACTCGCTGCAGACAACACATACCTCAACTGTTGTAACAAGGAGCTAGTTGATAAAGCACAGCAATAAGTGGAGCATGTGTTGCACACAGAGTTAGCGAATCTGCCCCACTGGTGCCGGGGAAACCCTAACCCCTCACCTGAAACGCTGGCGTCCTTGGTGCTGCGGCAAACAGAGCAGTGGCAACTCGACAAATGGGGATTGCTGCTCACTTCCTCAGGTTTCTCAGTCGTAAAGCTGCCACACAATTCTTGTATTGGGTGACGAGAACAAGTGATGAAAAACCAGATGGAGACTAGAAAAAACTGGAAAATACAGAATGGTGGTAAGGTAGCAACCATCCAGGCTAGGGCTGCCAACACAGCCAAGTATGAAATTACAATGGTTAAAAATGAACTTAAACAGCTAGCATGTAGGACAAGCTGCTAGGCATTACCTTACGTCGTGAACAATTTCGCATGTAAAAAATATGCTCTTTGTAGCTATTTTCTTGCAAATCAGCACAGTTTTGACCGTTGCCCGGTGGTTGCAGAAAAACGAGGCACGTGAGCATCATCCTCTTCATGGGCTGTGTGTCCAAGCCGCAGCTGACCATTGTGACCCAGTGGTGCGAGGGGTCCAGCCTGTACAAGCATCTGCACGTGCTCGAGTCAAAATTCGAGATGCTGCAGGTCATCGACATTGCCAGACAGACTGCACAGGGCATGGAGTGAGTTTTACATTGTAATCTTGTGGCTTAGCTGACCTTCTGAGTTTGCCAATGACTGTTGGTTACTGTGTCGACTTTTTTAATGTTTTGCGAGTCAATTTTGAATTGTGAATTTCGAGAAGGCTCTCTTGATGAAGATATCTTAATGCATCTTCAATTAGCTTCCTGATAAAGCAGCACATAAAGGACGACATAAAGGGCACAATAACATGTACCGTATTTACTCGCATAACAGGCGCACTTTTTTTTTGTCAGAAATCCGGCTCGAAGTTATGGGTGCACCAATTATGCAGGGTAAGATGTTTAAAAAATTTTTCGACTAGGTTCTCACGCTTCGAATCTGCACATTTATCAAGTAAAAGGTCACTTTATCATTTACTAATTAATTCAGTGTAAAACAAACATACCTATATATCTTTTAATGAACAAGCGAGAGCCATCAACTGCACACACACACACAATTAAAATTTATTTACACATAAGTCGTAGATGTTCCTCCTTTTCTCTATTCGGAGTCTGAGTCAGAAAGCACACATTCATCCTCGCGGAGCGGGGATTCTTTTCCAGTGTCCGAATAATCCACACCTCATACTATGTCATCCTCACTCGCATCTAGTGCGTTTGAGATACCCGTCTTCTTGAAGCTTTTCCAGACGACTTCGTCGGAGGTCGCCTGCTACTCCTCCACGATCCAAGCGCGCAGCATTTGCACAGGTGGCCTCTTAATCTTACCACCTGGAGTCAGCTGATATTTTCGTGCAGCCATTGAGGTGGTGTACAGCCTTCGAACATTGTCCTTGAAAGGCTTATTCAAGGACACGTCCAAAGGCTGCAGTATAGATGTGAGGCCGCCCGGAATCACTGCCAGATCTGTGCGCAGCTCCTTTAGCTGATCTCTGGGAAATAATTTAAGCTCCAACAAAAAAAAAAGTCACAGCATATCCATGGAGTGAATGATGATGAGTGGGGCGAAGTGTCCGTCAGCCTGTCCATGCTTCCGTCCATTCGTTCATTCTTGTTTCCGTCCGTCCGTGCGACCATCAGTGCGTCAATCCATGCGTCTGTCCATGAGTCTGTCTGTCGGTCCGTCTGCGCGACCATCTGCTCCTCCGTCTGCTAGTCTGTCTGTCCATACGTCTGTGGGTCCATCTAGTGAACACTCTTAGTACTGCTTTCTCGCAACCACTGTGGCATATACCCCCTATAGAGCGAATAAGTGCCATCGGTGGCTACATGCGTGCGTGCGTACTTACATACATACATACGTACATATATACGGAGCGACAGACCCACGCCATAAAAAGCTTTGCCCCTAAAAAATTTGTGGAGAAACCCGATGTTTCGGAACAGACTTAGTTCCTTCCTCGGGGTAAACTGGGACTACGTAGCAGCGGCGTCTTCAAAGCACTCACGGGTCTGCAATTACGCGGGCCTCTTCTTTCTTCCTCTCCGTGTCATTGGAGCATATGTTCTTGGCTCTCTGAAGTAGCATGGTCACAACTGAGGCCTTGTGGCAGGCGGGATGAGATGAATCGTACTGAAGGTAGCGGCCGGTGTGCATTGGCTTCCTGTGCTAATTTCAGAAAAAACGGATACCCAAAATCCTTATTTGAGCCGCCACCCGCCACGCAGAGCAACAGAAGATGCGGAAACCTCAATCAGCTTTAATCGGCAGTCCTCCGAAACGCATTCCGTTTCCATAAGTTTAAGGAACCAACAAGATGTTGGCGCGGATCTTCAAAAAAAGAAAGGGTTCGCATCGTGCATGTGCCTTCGTGTACGCTGGACCGCCTCCTCCCCCGCCTGAAAGACCGGCCCACAGTAGACAGGACCCCAGGTGTCGTTTACAAGATCCCGTGCACCGAGTGCACTTTTTCGTATACTGGCGAGACAAATACCTATAAGAACGTCTAAAGCAACACGTCCATGACGTGCGGAGGCTCTACAAAGAGCGCAGCACAGTTGCTGAGCACGCTGAGACATTGGACGACCGTATAAATTTTGAAGCAACGACCATCCTCGAAAGCGAGGCGAACTGGAGGAGAAGGTTACTACTCGAGTCATGGCATATACAGCGAACGGCCCAAGCATCAAACGCTCTCTCGGAACCCTTCTCCGCAGTGTATGAACACGGACTGGCCTGCACGGCAAAACGAGAGAAAGAAAGAAAGAGAAGGGGAGTCATTAACCGCCCTGTGAGTGCTTTGAAGACGCCGCTGCTACGTAGTCAGAGTTTCCCCTGAGAAAGGAACTAAGTCGGTTCCGAAACGTTGGGTTTCTTCACAAACTTATTGATTGGAATTTAAATCATTTCCCATTTTTCACACCTAGCCAGACAGGCATCTGTCGAATGTTTACATTTTAGCTCATCTCATGGGCTGTCTACGAGGTGCCCACGAAAACTGTCCAGGACAAGCATGGACGGCAACAACAGATCACCCGGCCGCCAACCCCAGACTGTTTTTACCCAATCCACCATGAGTTCCGCGCTAATCCAGCCTTTTTCATGGACTATGACGTAGATGACTTGAGGGAAATTTGCCTTTGGGAGCGTCTTACGTTTAAAAATAACGTAAGGCGGTAGCTTGCGCCCATCCGCTGTCACCGCCAGCATTACGGTGCATCGTTGTTTTGTCAGCGCCAGACGTTTTGACGAAGACGCTCCGTGCACCTTTCTTCTCCACTGTCGTGTGCCGCAGCATATCAAAGCAAAGGGGGGTCTGATCAGTGTTGCCAATGTGGGACAAAGGAAAGTCCTTCTGCTGTTGGAGCTTTATAACGAAACGGTGGAACTCCACCACTTTGTCCTCATATTCTGTGGACAAGTACTGGCACAAGGTGGTCCGCCTTCGCAGTGCCAGGCCATGGCGCCGCATGAAACGAGTTGTCTATCTGGAGGTGGCTTTGAACTTTTTTGCTTTGATGTGCTGCGCGAGTGCTATTCAGCGCGCTTCAGTATGCATAATATCCAATGGCACAGCACAGCCGTCTTGTCGTAGCTCCCGTATGTGCCGGACCAGTTGCTCTTTAACGTTTGAATACCTGTTTGTCTTGGCACCAGGGAAATCCCGTCGTGTCTTCTTCATCGCTTGAAGTTTTTCTTCTTGATTCCTCCAGTACCGAATACTGGTTTCCCCTAACACCGAAATGCCTGCTTAGAGCCCGGTTGCTGTGCTACAGCACGTACTGCACTGCCTTCAGTTTAAATTCAGCTGTGTAGCTTGTGTACTTCTCCATGGTGGAACAAAAAATGGATACACGATCACAACTTACGCACACCGCTTGCAAAATGGCGTTTCTTTTTTTTTTTTCTCTCTGATGGTGGTGATGGTGATCGAGCCCCCGGTGTTGTACACGTGACCTCTAAGGAGCACGGCGATTTGGGTGGTATCAGTAATTGATGAAACATCCTTCTTCTTTTTTTTTTGCTCATGGATGCTTTATTTTTTTCAAGTTTTATTTTGACAAACACGTTAGTTAGGTCGTTGCACTTCGAATTTTTTTTATTTGCTCGTTGATTTGCCTTCTTTTTTTCTTCAGGGTACGGGGACCGCGTTCCAACTGTACCGCTGGGGGGTAGAATTGTTTGTAATCACAGCCAAGTTCGGAGGGCGCCTATTATGCGCGGAATTCAAAAAATCTAATTTTCTGCGACCAAACTAGGGGGGGCACTGCTATTATGCGAGTGCGCGGATTATGCGAGTAAATACAGTAAAACCACGGCGTAAGAAAAGTAATTGAGGTGTGGACACCCACGACACGTCCAGATTATGTTCGGCGCTTCTCCAGCCACCATGTCGCAGCGCCCTACACGCAACTGCAGCCGGCTTATGCACTATAGATGACGATCTGTGCATGTGGCATCTGTAAGGCCGTTGTGTAAAGGAGAACATTGTGGAGGCAACTGCAGTGTTCGTTGCACGTAGCATTTTTCAGGTGCAAAAACTCGGCTTGTGTTTCTAGCTTTGGTTACTAGCATGCACGGTGCTTTAAAAAGAATACTAGGAAAATAAAAAGAATGTGTATCTGTTTCATCGTGCTCGCTCCTTTTAAGCTCACATGGTGCAGCATGCCTTCGCTATGCAGTCAACTCCTGTTAATATGAAGTTCACAGGAACCCCCGCAGGGGCGCCTGCGCGGCGTTTGGTGTGTAGCGACACCACGGACCCGAGCTAACGGGGGAGCTTCGGCTCCCTCCCACGCCTAGCCGTGCGTGGCTTTGCCGTGCCCGGGGAAAAGGGGATCCTGGGGGTTGAGCCGACGCTGGGTGATTGGACCTTTAAGGCCCCCCAGCAGAGGCAACACACCCCTTTGGCCCCGGCTTCACGTAGACGGCACCCCTGGGCTGACCCACCCAGGGGAAATCGGCAGTCGCCTTTTCCTATCTCTCTCTCCCTACATCTTCGTCTTTTGTTCTCACTTTACATCTTTCCTGTCTTCTACTCTCTTCTGTATACTTCCAATTTTCCTGGCGGCAAGGGTTAACCCTGTGCAAATAGCCTACCTTGGTTTAGGCGCATTGGGTTATGGCAGTGTTGTACGGCTGACGTCTGCAAGCTTTCAGCACCTGTAAACTTGCAGCGTCCCCTTGTTGGGCTCCGTGGTGGGTGGCCGCCAACGCTGCTGAACAAAAATAATACCGGCATGCAAGGCGCATTTCCTCTACTATCTGATCGTACCGGCCTAAAGCGGGTACGCACCGACGACATAAATCTCTTCAACCAGCCAATAGAAACTTTTCCCCACTTCCACGTCATTCACTGTGAAAAAACCGGAAAGCAAGCCAGGACCGTATCTCCTTTCGTAGTTGCCAGGTGTCTTACGGAAACTCTCGGGGCTGGATACAAAGTAACCAAAATGGCGAGCGGAGACCTTCTTCTAGAAATTCGGGACAAAGCACAATATGTAAAGCTAAACAGCCTCTCAACGTTTGGTGACGTACCGATCACCATAACACCACACCGATCCATGAACACCACTCGCGGAGTGGTATCTGATGC